AGAAACACACACACCCACACCCCCCCCCCCCCCCCCCACACACACCCACACACACACACACACACACACAAAACTACCACCATCACCACCACCACCACCAAAAAACAGGAACAGACAATCACTGGCATTGATATGTCTAAATATCAATGGTCTCAATTCCCCACTGCTGGCAGGAGTGCAAATTTGTACAGCTGTTATGGAAATCAGTGTGGTGGTTCCTCAGGAAGATGGATGTCTATGACTCTTGGGCATATACCCAAAGAATGTTTTGTCCTACCAATAGAAGCACTTGCTCAACTATATTTCATTGCTGAAAGTGGAAAAAACCTAGATGCCCTCAACAGAAGAATTGATAAAGAGCATATGGTACACTTACACAATAGATTATTATACCAGTTTTTAAAAATGAAATCATGAATTTTGCAGGCAAACGGATAAAACTAGAAAAAAAACATCCTGAGTTAGTTATCCCAGACCCTCCCAAAGACAAAATGGCATGTATTCACGTATTTGTGGTGCTAGGATAAAGATTAAAGGAGACCTGGGGTGGGGGACCATGACAGATTCCATGGCAGTCGAGGATGACCAAAGCAGCAGACAAACATGCCAGGAAGACAGAGCTTAAGTGAGAAGTTCAATTAGAAAGGGGAAGGAGGGGGAAGGAAAGAGAAAAGAGGTAAAGAGACACAGAGACAGAGAGGACAGAAGAGAAGATGGAGACAAGAAAAGTCCTGTCTGCCCCAGTAGAACAGCAGGAAGAGAGCTGGAAAAGAGCAGAAAAAGAGGAGAGTAGAGAGAAAGAGAAGAGGTTCCCCCTTTAAACTTTATCCTAACATGTGGTGCCTTAGTCAATGTTCTATTGCTGTGAAGAAACACCATGCCATGGCAACTCTTATAAAGGAAAGCATTTAATTAGGGCTGGCTTAGATTTAGTCCATTATCAGTATGGTTGGAAGCATGGTAGCACGCAAGCAGACATGGTGCTGGAGAAGGAGCCAAGACTTCAACATCTGGATTGGCAGGCAGCAGAAAGACAGAGTGCCACTGAGACTGGCTTGGAATTCTGAGCCCTCTCCCTGCCCCCCACCCCAATGACACACTTCCTCCTCCAACAAAGCCACACCTACTCCAATATGACTATATCCTAATCCCCCTCAAGTAGTACCACTCCAATACGACCAAGTATTCAAATATATGAGCCTATGGGGTTCACACATGTGGCTATTACTGTTAAGTCAATGATAAACAAGCTATAATCCATAGAACCACAGAGAATAGATATAGTATATGGGACTAGAGTGTACAGATCTCTTTAGGAAAGGGAAATAGAATAGATAATTATAGGTGGATGGGAGGGTTGGAAGGAATAGATTAAAGTGGGAGGGTAAAGGAAGAGGGGGGTCAAAGGAGGAAATACAGGGACAGATAACTAAAATTAAGTGGTATTTGAGGAGTTGTATGGAAACTTCCTAAAATATGTACACATATGAAGGAAAATGATATCACTAAATAATGGGGGAGACAGAGTACCAACTTATCACCATAGGAAGCAGGATCAGGTCACATATAATAGAGTTGTTAGCCTCAAACAACCCAGACTGTTGCCAGGACAATATATTGCTCTCCACAAACTGACAGCAAGGGTGCATTGCTCAACACAACACCTACGTAACTCACTAAACATGGAGAAGTTGAGCTGCTGCCTATACAGCCTTCATCTCTACATTCTAACATCTTTGGCAGAGGAAAGTACTCTGCGTATTACTAAATGAGAAAGGTAAACATTGAGACTGCCACAACCCATTTGATCTAAAATGGTGTCCTGCCTGCAAGATATGCTAGTGCAAAGGTGGAACAAAGCTAGTAGGTGTAACCAACCGATAACTGATTTGACTTAAGGCCTACTTCACAAAATGGAACCCATACCTGACACTGCTTGGGTGGGAACCATATACTACAGAACTTAAAAAAAAAAAAAAAAAAAAAAAAAAGGTAGTGATAAAATGACTCAAATGATATTGTACTCATAGATCAATGCCTTGTTCAGACATCATCAGAGAATTTTTCCTGCAGCAGATGGGAACAAATACAGAGATCCACAGCCAGACATTAGGTGAGGGGGGTGGGGAAAATGGAAGAGGATAGGAAGAGAGAGACACCTTGCTTGGACCATTCAGACATAAATGGGATGTTTCCATGAAATCCCTGACATCAGAGCTCAAGGAACCCTGAGGAAGAGGGGGTAGAAAGAATACAAGAGCCAGAGGACATGGAGGCACCAAGGAAACAAGGCCCTCTAAATTTCCATGAGCAAAGCTCATATGAACTCACAGGGGCTGAAGCAGCAGGCACAGGGTTTACACGTGTCTGCACCAGGTCCTCTGTGTTTGTATTATGGCTTCCAGGTTAGTGTTTTTAATAGGAGTCCTGAGGGTGTGAACAAATGGCTATCAGATTCTTGTCCCTTCTCTTGAGTTCTTTTCTTTCTGTTTGTTTGTCTTGTCCAACTTCAATATGATAGTTTTTGTTTTATCTTATTAAGTTTTATTTTGTCACGTTCGGTTGTTTTCTCTTAGAAGCCTGTTCTTTTCTAATGAGAGACAGAAAGGGAGTGGATCCAGATGGGAGGGGAGTTGGGGAGGAACTGGGTAGAGAAGAGGGAGGGGAAACTATAGCCAGGATATATTATGTGAGGAAAGAATCTAATTTCAATAATACAAAATGAATACTTTGACTCTCAACAAACACTATTTAAGATGCTGCTTTCCAAAAAGCTTCTGGCAGGCAGTATAAAAGAAGTAGCATTGGAAGAATCACACATTGCTTGTAGTAATCTCTAATATCATAGGGAGCCATTTCTCCTTATGATAGAATCTGGATATTAATAACACTTAAATTCTTAATATGTTATCTAATAATACTGTTCATATTATATAAAATTCTTTATTTCCTTGACCCTGAGGAAAAATAAACTAGAGTAAGGCATATAGAATCTGAAATAGACAAAGGTTTATAAAACTCCAGAAGAAATCTAAAAGAGGGAAGCCGCTGATGTGTAAGTATCCTGACAGTTTTCAGTTAAGCCAAAGTGGAAGTAGGAAGAACATACGGCCTCAACCCTGAGAGAACAGAGATGGAAAGTAGGTCATTACTACTTCAAGAATCAAAGCGTAAGTTCAAATGGGAATCTTTTTTTTTAAAAAAAAATTCTTTAGCATGTATTTATTGGAGATCATGTGACATTTCAAATAAGCATACAATACACAGTAATCAAACTTAGATTCCCTACTCTACCCCAGATCTCCATAATACAACTGTCAATCTCTAACAATCACTATTGCCCTTTTACACTGACTTTAATAAATGCCTTGCATATTTGAGAAAGAACACAAGGTGCTGATCTTTCTTTGTCAGGCTTACTCCACTTAACTGAAGAACATATAAGGTCCTCTAGTTCCACCCATATTGCTGCAAATGACAAAACTCTATTCTTCTTTATTGTTGACTAATATCCACTGAGCATATTTACTTGATCAGTTCATCTGTTGATGAGCACTTAGGCTGAGTCTATGTCTGAGCTATTATGAATGGTGCTGCAGTGGACATAGGAGTACGGATGCTTTTGGTAAAATGATTTTGTTTCGATAGATTCAGAAGTGGCACAGGAATTCTAATAAACTTATCCCCAAGTGGATCATGAACCAGAAAACAAGGGGCAGTAATAGCAACCTTTATTTACAGACCATAAAAACCACCACTCTATTTGGTATCTGTTGAAGAACTTCTGAAGATTAAAAACAAAACACATCAAACAAAAGACCCTGCATTTGTTCTTAGAGATGACAGTCTAGCCCATTGCTAACTGGAAAGTAACAAGCTGCCATTGTCTGTGAAAAGGCCTGGTCAATTCTGACTCCATGATAAAATCATGGTCCTTGGGCTACAAGGACAAGGGAACTGGGATTTGGCAATCCATGAAACTGTTGCTTAAGCAACTTCCTTTGGCAGTGAGTTCTCCATGGAGGTCTCAACTGCTCTGCTTTCCTTATTTCTTTGTATTATAGAAGCGTTTTGAGCACTCAAAACCCAAACAAACAAATCACTAAACTTTATCCCCCAAATATCATAATCCCAGTTTCTGTAGTATGACATCTATTTGTTGTTTCCTCCTCTTCCCCACCTCCTATCTCTTTCTAAACCCTAACCCTGAGTTAGCCTGTTTTCTAATCCTCAGCCATGGGTCACTCTTCACTATCTCTTTTCTTTTCTTTTTAAAGAAGGCACTAGTACAAGATTTAAGGTATCTCTTTTCTTGCTTTCTTTCTCTATTCTTGCACTAGGGATCCACAAGGATGACTCCAACTAGGAATCTAAGCAATAGTGGAGAGGCCACCTTAAATGCCCTTTCCCCTATAATGAGATTGATGACTACCTTAAATGCCATCCTAGAGCCTTCATCCAGTAGCTGAAAGAAGCAGAGGCAGAGATTCACAGCTAAGCACTGAACTGAACTCCTGGAATCCAGTTGTAGAGAGGGAGGCTTGATGAGCAAAGGGGTCAAGACCAGGCTAGGGTAACAACCCACAGAAACAGCTGACCTGAGCAAGTGGGAGCTCATGGTCCCCAGACTGGGGAACCAGCATAGGACCAAACAAGGCCCTCTGAACGTGGGTGTCAGTTGCAGGGGGCTTGGGCAGTCTATGGGGCCTTTGGCAGTGGAACCAGTATTTAACCCTAGAGCACGAATGGACTTTGGGAGCCCATTCCCCAAGAAGGGATACTTTCTCAGCCTAGATACATGGGGGAGGGCCTAGGTCCTGCCCCAAATGATGTGACAGATGATATGATGAGCCCCCATATGAGGCTTTACCCTCCCTGGGGAGTAGATGAGAGATGGGATGGGGGGTGTTGGTGGGAGACATGGGAGGATCGGAGGGAGAGGGAACTGGGATTGGTATGTAAACGAAGATGGTTTTTTATTTAAATAAAATTTTTTTAAAAAGAAGGCACTAGGAAAAAAGCCTAAAAGACACTGAAATCCAGCAGAACTGCCCATAACTTCCCATGCTGGTGGCTAACAATGAAAATCACAAGAGGAAAGCATGTTTTTTAAATCTTTGAATGTTTGAAACTATACAAAGTTTATTTCCTACAATTCCTGGACCACTCCAACACACTCTATCCAGGAGTCTGTTTCAACTCTTAAATGTCAAATAAAAGAAGAGGCAACAGTCCAGAATAAGACAGAGCTCTCCTGACTACAAAAGAAAGGTAATTACTGGGTTATGCACATACAAAGATCCAGAAATTATTGTAAAGCTGTTCTTTATTCAAGATTCATGCTAATTTGGTCTAAGTGGTAGTAATTTGATGATAAATGGTATTGTTATTTCATTTGTCTTCTAATGCCTGTGTATTTAACTAAGTAAGTGATCTGACAATTACCATACAATCTAGTTGGCAGTAGCTGACTCCTTTCTCCCACTCACAGTCTCTGGTCTCTTCTTGTATCCATCCACCAGTCTTGCTTTGCTCTTTGGGACCTTCTTCTGCCACCTTGTTCACAAAATTATCATGTGCTCCTGAGCAGCAAAAGCCCAGTGTTTGCAGTTCCCCTTCCATGCCTCCAGCCCATGCCCACACAGAATTGTACCTGGGCTTCCCCCTTCCTTGCTGGTATCTCCCAGAACACTTCCACAGGAAATAGCTGTACAGGAGTGGGGATTTTCCTGTAGTGTCTGGAAAGCTACAGCCAAAACAACTCTGAGATCTCAAACTCCAGAAAACCCTGTTTAGAACTTAAATCATTCTTCCCAGGTTTGCAGCCACCAATAGCTTGGACTTTTCGCACTTCTTCAAACACTGATCTCACACCATCGAAGGTGATATTGTTCTCCACTTTTCTTAGGCCTGCTGGAGCCACCCTCAACCCTGAGTGAATTCACTTCCCAGAGCCCTACATACACTAGGTTTTCCCCCTGGCCAGTACATGTCCCCTAAAACGTCACAGTCTCTTCAAGGATAGGCTATGAGCTCAGAACAAAAGCCATCTTTGTGTGGCTCCCTGTTTTGTTCCCAGAGAAAGGATGTTCGATGAATGATTCCCACTGTCTAAGGAAAGTCACCAAAATAGCAATAGTCACTGAATTTGAGCAGAAGAGCTGTAGGTACCTTTTCATTTTGTTTTTACACAATGAAGCATCTATTAAACTCACAATCAGTAAGATATAAAGAGGATTCTTTGAGCTAAGAATGGAGGCTCACGTCTGTATGCTCAACACTTGGAAGATGAAAGGAGGATTGCTGTGAGTTCCAGGCCAGCCTGGGGCTAGAATGAAACTGTCTCCAAAAACCAAAACAAAACAAAATTTCTTATACTGCAGAAATACATATTGATCTGACATTCAAATTTTGTGAGGGATAAAGCTAAAAATCAGTAAAGCAAATCAGAGGCATCTACAAACCAAGTTTTAAAATTACACAATCAAATCGGTTATGCAGCAATGTTTGGGATCAGAGAAAAGACTTTGCATGTTTCATAGATGTCAAATCTGTTCACATTTTTAAAAATGCTTATAACCTTATAAGAAAGGCTAAGAATATTATAAATCATTCTCATATGAGAAAAAATCTTGTCCCAATTCCTGCTTGTTTCTTTTCTTTCAGCAACACCCTATGTATAAAAGGATGATACTTTTGTGTTTTCATTAACACCACCAAACATAGTAAATTATCAAAGCAGTTTCCAGCAGTAATTAAGCTGACCTCTGTATTTGTTTCCTGGCAAGATGGGAACACACATTCCCTGAGAACAGAGGACAGAAATACAAGTTCCTACACTAGCATCTGGAGTCCCACAGTTCTTTAAAAGGTATCTACAAACCACTGTCAGCTAGAATAAGCTCATAGGGCAAAGGTTTTTATTCTACATTGTTGCTGATGTATCTTCAATACACAGAATAATACAGAACATGACAGATAGTTAATGAATGAGTAACCTAAGATTGATGTAAAAATCTAAAATCTGAAAGATCAACAAGTAACAGAAGAATAGGCCAATAAAACGATCAGATAATCCAAGGAAAAGGTTATATAAATGGGTCTTAGAGATAGGAAAAGATATTAAACCTCAGAGACAATGAAAGAATTTTAATAAAGATAATAAAACATAACATTCTCACCTAATAAATTACAAAAGTATGAAACTTACTAATACCATGCATCTTTTGGCAAAGCATGTCCATATTTACATTTTTTGTGGGAATATAAACAGGTACAGACACTTTAGAGGAAAACCTGGCTCCCGGCATCAAAATTACAAGCATGTACCTCTTTGGCCAAGCAATTCTTTTGAGACTCTTAGCCCACACAAAGACTTAGAGGACAGTGAAGTGGTGTGTGGTGACTATTCTCTACATTAATGTTTATAATAGCATAAGACTGGCAAGAGCTAATAAGCACCTATCACTTAAAGAGCAGTTAAAAAACCAGTACACACAGGTGAGACACATTACATGCAACTATAGGAAAGAAACAAAGGAGCACTCTGCTTCATGGCTATTACTCAGCAATGAAACAAATCAGATATCTAATGACCTAAGTAGTAATACTATTGTATAGATACAGAAAAATACAACATATATCTGATTCCCTTATATCTGCACAGAGAAATGAAGTGATACAAAGAAAACTTCACAAGTTTTTTTTTTTTTTTTTTTTTTAGGGGAAAGGGGGGGTTACAGGTGGGGGGAGGGTGGAGCGCAGATGCATGAATGGCCTATGTGAGTATATCACCTCCTCAAGGAATTGTACAAAAAACGAGAGTCATGGGGGCTGCTCTACACTGTAGGCTAATGATATAAACAGACTTGCTTAAAACTTATCATTATTGTTAAATGAATGGACTATGAAATCATTCACCTGACATCAAGGCTAATCTCCCTCTATGGCATCACTCTATATGCCTACCTTGAATTGTACTTATAAGTATTTAAAAGCAATTAACATGATAAAAATAAGTTTAGGAGTCCTGCTACCTACTGACATTGCAGATTGCACCTGGTCCCCACTACATTAAACTGTGCCTTTTCATTTATGGTAAATTGTATGGTAACCAAATAACACAATCTATGATTATAATGTATGGTGTTTTAGGTAGAAAATGTGCATTAAATTCTCATGTGAGTGATCTCTCTTCTTCATCTGGACCTTAAGAAAATAAATTTCAATGCCATAGGTGTTTAAGTGACTTAAGAGGATGCCACCAAAAGGAGAAAATAAAAACCAACCACCTCCCGTGCTGACATAACACAACCTTCCATCCACATGACTGGGGTCAATAACAATGAGAAAATCAGTCTCACCTTACTTCAGCTGGGGGGTTTGGGGAGTAGGGATTTGCCGAACAAGCCAGAATCCTGATGACTGCTCCAGGATGGTAGGTCTCCAGCACATGAACGGCTGTAGGATATACCTGTTGCTCAAAGGTAAGTTCCACATAGTCCTGGCTCTGAAAACTGGACGGTGTTCTTCTGAATGGCAAGGAGGCACTAGGACACTGATCCCACCATGTTCCGTAACGAAACACAGCTGTCTGAGTAAAGTCACCAGAACTTGGGAAGACATTTGGTATACCTGCCAAATTCCACATGGTATAGGACATGCTATTCTCACTGCCATAATGGGAACTGAAATCCACCACTTCTTTGGCGTACTGGACCACCTCTGCATTGTGAGGTGAAGTCCGGCTGTTGGATACTATAGTCCTATGGCTGTTCATCATATCTCCTCTTGTAGCTGTCCTGGCTCGGCGCCGAAGGCACATATAATAAAACATGGTCAGAACTGTTAACATGGGAAAGACTGGTGACATCTAGTCGTGAATTATGAAGCTTCGAAAGGTCAGATGTCCTCAGTGAAAGGCATGAACTCTGAAGGATGGTCTACAAAATGAATGGCTTGGTAAAGTAAAATAATTTAAATAATAAAAAAAAAATGCAGGGATACAGAAACAAAGAGGCTTTTTACCCAGTGTCAGTTCCCAAAATGAAATTTGAAAATGCAAGTTTCCAACTATAAATTTGATCTCTGACATAAACAATTTACCAAACGTAACTTGTAAGAAGCTTACATATATAACTTCATGCTAAAGGGGGCAATAGAAGACATATGAATCCCAAAGCTGTATTTTATATAAAATAGTCACCACTCAAGAAACACCAAATCCTTGAACTTTTAAAATTAAAGTTATTTAACATGTGTTAAATACTTTTACCTCAAATCATCTTGGGCCCTGACATACTTGGGACATTTTAACAGACAATCCCCTATTGTTAGGCACAGCAAGCATCTTTACCTGCTAAGCCAACCTCCTGGTCCTATGGTTCCTGTTTTTAATTATTCTTCTCTCCTAAACATGATATGTGGAGACTCTACATTGTGGGAATACAGTTTTTTGAGAAGATAGTTAATTCAGACCAATAGACAGTATTTAATTTCTACCCATAGTGTTATTTGTTAGGGCAGTTCTCAGCTGCCTAGCATCTGATTTGTTGCCAGCTACTCTTCGGAATCACTCACCCTAGCTAGAATGGTCATGGAACACACACAGGAAGTGCAGGCGTTGGCACCCATCCACGTGTCTGACACACACATGCTGCTTTCCAGGTAGAGATGTGGAAACAAGACAGCCTGAAACAGAGTTAAACAAACATTTTTATTCCTAAATTAGGAATTATTCCAAGAGAAGTACACTTACAAAATTTTGGCATGTTGATAGAAAGGTGAAGTGGGAGGGAGCATAAAATTACTAAAAAATAAAACCTTCCAATTAGGCTATATTTCTCAGAATTTGTAGACAATCTTGAATTAATAATTTTTTTAAAAATGTGTTTCTCAGAATTTAACAAAAGTATAACAAACCATACCAAACTAGAGGTTTTAAACCATGGTTTTGTTTCAAACTATGCCTGAGGAAATACCACAGGAGAGCCAATCAGTGTTTATACATTTCTAGACTAATCTGTAACTTCAACAATCAAGAAGACCCAAAGAGGCCACACTTGTTTCAAGCCAACTCTACTCACTTGCAACACATCCTCACCGAGAAGGCAATGCCCTGTCAATAGGGACAAGGAACTCTAACTCTTGTAAATTCCTGGCTCCAGCTTCCTCGAAGTAGAACTAAATAGAAGGTGAATACACAAATTCCCCCTACCCTTTTTTACGACAGCACTGCTCTAGCTGCCAAAACTTGAGAACTAGCACTAAGATTACAAAATATGACATGGGCCAATTGATTCAACCCTCCAGTAACTCTTTCTGATATGCAAGATACAATCTGCATCCCTTACATTGAGGCTTCCCTCAAGCCAGAAAGCACTTTTGTTGCTAACCTAGAAAATCCAGTTTTTTGGTTTTTGTTTTCTTTTTTGTTTTTTTGAGACAGGGTTTCTCTGTGTAGCCCTGGCTGTCCTGGTACTCGCTCTGTAGATCAGGCTGGCCTCAAACTCACAGAGATCCACCTGCCTCTGCCTCTCAGGAGCTAGGATTAAAGGTGTGTGTCGCACCACCCTGCAGAAAACCCAGTTCTAAACCCTTACATTTTACTGCATGTCTCAATACTTGCTTCTTTTCCACCCACGAGGCCTGGTGGTAGCAAGTTTACTCTCTGGCACCAAATGGTCCTGCATTTTGCTCAGAATACTTTTAGCAGGGTTTATACTTAGGAATACTTTTTTTCTTTTTTTTTTAAGTAGTGAACCCAGACAATGGTCTCCATTTATTTTCTTTTTCTTAACTAATTAAAATTTCATTTGTTTTACACCCTGACTGCAGCTTTCCCTCCTTCCTCCTCCCATCCCCTCCCCCATCTCCCCCACCTCCACCTCTGCAGGACTCCCAAGGGTATCAACAAAGCATGGCATATCAAGCTGAGGTAGGGAGGACTAAGCACCTCTCCTTGCATTAAGGCCGGGTGAGGCAACCCAGCAGGTCTTCATTTCTTAGTATGTGGCTTGCTGCATACTGTGTATTTCAGCATGATGGAAAGGTGATGTGGAACAAAACCCCAAGAACAAAAACTAATCTGAAAATACACAGCAGCATCTTCTGCCTCTCAAAGCCATCCTAGTCTAAACACACTGAGATGCTGCATAAAATGCTAACTCGTGCAATCATAAAGGGCTACGCTTAAAACAAGGGTAGCAAATGAAGTTTTAAGAAACCGAACTCCAGAGCAAGAGGACTGACTGGGGCTACTCATTATCAGCCAGAATGGTTACAGCAGAACACACGAACCAGAGAGAAAATTACTGATGTCTACCAATGCAGGTCATGCTTGGAAGGACCTTCACGAAGCCCCAGTTCAGGAGGAATCCTGTCCATGGAGCCAGGGATAAAAACCAGCTCACTTTTCAGAAGTCCACAGGCACAGCCTCAACTCAATCAGATACGTGCCATGCACGGGACCTAAATTTGCACCACACCACCTCCACAGTTTGGAATTTCATCCAACAGAGTGAAAAAAAAAAAAATGAAAAGCAAAACTAGTTCCAAACAGGGGACATTTTTTTGGAGATGGAAAGCACAAATATGAAGACTCTTTGTAAGGTTGTTTTCACAGTGGAAAAAAACCGAAGAAGGTGCCTGCCAGTGAAAAGTCAGTCACTGTAAAATGAATTACAAAGGGGTCAGCTGGTGAATCCAGCAGAGAGGAATTTGAATCCTCAGGAACAAGGAAATTTGGGACAAGCAGAGCAAAACCTTGTGTGGAAAGGCAATGAGGCATTCAGGGAAGGAGAGCCATGTGCCATACAACAGCACTCTGGTCACATGGACAATCAACACAGCCTTCAGACATCACCTTTCACTCCAAACTAAGCTCCTTTTCCTTCATTTCTCAAAACTGTCTCTCAGAAAGCAGTCAGTTGAATGAAACCTAGGAAACACCTACAAAACAAAGTAGCTTCATTTATGTCAACCCACACAATGACTCTTGGCAAAAAGACGGAGACAAACTGTAAAAGTTAAATTTTAGTTGATGTACCATGGCACAAATTTTACAACAGTTTCTCAGCTAGTTTTTACCATTGCAGATTACAGATAATATAAAAATCAGCAAGACTGTCATATGGGCAATATTATTTTTAAGCTGTGTAAGAGTTGAGTAAAATTTGCATTGAAGTAACATATGTAAAACCTGAGTTATAAATTGTAAATATATGTTATACTGTCAAGTTTCTTCAGATTAGAAATGGAAAGTGGAAGTTTTGTTTTCTTCATTTCAGAATAAAAAGATCTTTAGTTAATTTTTGTAAAATAAAGACAAAAACTGATGGAACACTGGAATCCTACAAAAGAGTGTACCTAAAGGGAGAAATTTTCAAGTTCATACAAAAAGCTGTTTTCAAGACTCTGGTAGCATTATAAAAATATGACTTTGTAGTTAATAAGCAAAAATTAGCAACAGAGTGACCCTCACTGTTGCTTAATCCAGTTTCTTATGAACAATGATTATAAGGAAAGAAACTGTAGGGGTCTCTACAGACAGCCAGCATAGGAACAATCCTCATGGGGAAAAATAAAGGAAATCCAACTAAACACAACTTAGCTGGTTCAAGCTTCTAGAGTCTGACACCAGACAGTTTATTTTAGACATATTTAAGAACAGTACAGTTTTGGAAAAAAAAAAGTTTCCTGGTAACAATTATCCCAATACCATGTGCACAATAAAGCTTAAGGCATGACTACATCAAAATTATTTGCAGAGTCCATGTGACCTCTATCATGAAGGTGAGTTCTACAGCTTAAGAGCCTAGGATCTTGTGTGGTCTTGGACATATAGATGGTGTAGAGGTCACCAGGCTGTAAAGTATATGTGACATCTCCCCAAAGGCTGGGTTCTATTGACTGAGAAACAAAGCTAAAGATAAAGGTCTAAGGAAGGAGAGTCTGGGATAAACCTAACAGTCTGGGGGATTCAGGTGTGACTTGGTCCTACAGACAGCACAGATCACCAGGCTCTTAACTACATTCACTCCCAGCCTTGTGTCAAAGAGACAAGGCTTCCTGCTGAACACTCCTGGTTTCTCTAGAGCTTGCCCTCTGCAAGAAACTCCACAGGACACAGCAAACTACACAGGTACAGTCAAAGAACACAAAGCAACTGCCACTTTAAGCAGTATCTTGAGACTCTTGTATTCCTTGGGAAACATCTTGTGTTATACAACATGGTCTTAACATAACACAACTTTATTTTCAATCACATCTTCCACATTATAAAATGCTTAATCAAGTTAAATAACACAATTACACAGAAAGCATTAACAGTGGAAAAGAGAAATTAAGAGGTATAGACAAGGAAGGACATATGTTTCCTAGTGAGACCTGAAGTGAGATGCAAGTTGATGAACCAAAGAGAAGCAGGATGGCAGGAGCCACTAGAAATTGGATCAGACAGCTCATACTCTGGCACAGGAGAGAGAAAGAACGGACTTCACAAAAATAAACAAAAAGTGTCGACACAATGATCCACAGCCAGACAATGTAAGAAGCCGGAAAACCAGTTGAAACTCCAAAGTAGATTCTCAACTTACAAAAAAGTAAAAAGATCCAGGAAAAGAGGGATGCCAGGAATAAAGAACAGGCAGGCCACACAAAATATTTAAAAAGCTATGCAGAGATGTGCCCATAAGTGACAGGGAAAAGATGGAGTCCAATCCATAGCACCATACCAAAGCAGCAGCATGAACAATGAGGAAACTAATCAAGAAAAGGTGTCTATCATTTCTGAATCTGAAATTTGTCAAGAAATGCTATTCAAAGAAAGGACTTTGGGGTTCAGTCTAGAAATCCAAACATGCGGATGAAAGGTTATGAGAGTGGAATTATATTTGTGTGTGGTCCATACAGTATTCAACTAGTTAGTTGTATTTGAATCATTTCCAACACTCACCCCCGCCCCCTCTAGGCATGTACAGTAACAAACATCCACACACACACACACAACCCAGGTGTTCTACCCCCTGTACAAACGGGGAAAATGTTTAAGGAAGGGTTTGTGGTATGACAGGTACTTCAGAATTAAACTCCCTTAGCATCTTGTCTTCCCCGCTCCTTCTCTTCTACAGCCCCCACTTTTCCTGTCTTCACCATCCCTTCTCTTCTACAGCACCCCCTCCTTCCTGCAGACCCATTGCCATCCCCACAATGGCACTGAGTATCCATGCCTGGTATCTTCAAGTCTTCAGCTAAGTGAGGCTGAGCAAATCTCCTTCCTCTCATACAAGGACAGGTACCATTCATGTTTCCTTCACCTTCTCTTAGCCCTATTTCTCGCCTGCAAAGATATGTTTCTTTCCCAACAGACTACGAGTTCCTCAAATTTGAAGAATGTATCCTACTTTTAACTATGGCTGATCTAGAGTATGCCAATAGGAGCTCAATAAACATTTCCTGTTTTATATAGATTTACCACAAGAAGAATTAGGAAATAACTTTAAAATAAACGGAAAAATGCAATCAGGGATTCTTTAAGATAAGGTTCATATAAAAAAAAAGTGTATCTTGATAAGAACAAAAAGGAGGAAAATGGGTAATAAAAACTGATAGGAAAGAATCAAATGCATGAACTTCCCTGAAGTCATCCAAGAAGGAATAGACTGCACATTGAAATTTTACTGTTCAAAGGGAATGTAAAAAAGTGG